TTTAGCTGAAATATCCCCTGGGTATTTTGTATTTCACTGGGACTTCTGTGTATCTAAAGGCAGGGTAAACAATTGGATATAAGAAAATGCCTGAACGGTTTCTGGGTTACAATTTCAAATATAATTAGCTTCTTCATTTTGCAAGAAGTATGCTTTTGGGAAAAATATTAATTCCCTGCCTTGATGATTTCCAACTCGAGTTGAATAGGGATCAAAAACGTAGGCTGATAATCGCACTTTCAATTAAGGGATAATCGCACTTCAAATTCCTCAACAGTACATTCCAGCATACAACTTTTCCAACGCATCGCCGATTCCTCTGAAATAACTGCAAAAATGTGGTGCAATTTATTCATGGTTTTCATCTTTGCCGCCAAAAATATCCAGAAAGTATGCTAATTGACTCATTCCATGACTTTGAGCTTGAATTACGGACTTTCGTATGATACCTTATATATTTTTTTCTTCGTTTTTGGTCTTCCCCCAAGTTTTCTTGCATATATGATATACAGTACTTCCTTTAAGTGATCGCAAAGAGTGAACTAATTAACAAAAATCCTTCATTTCTAAACCGTGCTCCATAAAATATTGATAAGATTTCTTGAAAATGAAATCGCTGTAGAGAAAAGGAGGAACGTTTCTCGAGACACGCTTGGTCTGAGTGCAAGGGGATTATAAAAATAGGACCAGGATTACTTAGGACTAGTTTTCATTCAAAATGCTGGCGATGTCAGGTCTCGGCCCGGGCTCGCAGCAAAGCAGCGGTAGCACTGTGGTGTCGAACGCTGTCGGCCGCTATCGAAGACCGCCGTCGTCGGTGTCGAATGGGCAACAAAGTGGCAGCAGTGGCACGAGTGACGAGCTTCGCTTCCGCATCTCCAACAACAATGGGCGGGTGTCGCGTTGCAGTTTACTGCGCAGTAACTTGAACTCGGAGAACATTCTGGTCGATTCGAGCGACTCGCAAGACTCATCTCCTCCAGAATGGTCTGCGGGTTATTCCTGCGAGTCGGATGACGAGAAAATTTTGCAGCAAGTAAGTGCATGACGATGCTGGTGGGGATGAGAGATGACTTACGTGGTATATTCAATTGGTATACCTCTGCGAGCAGGATTATATTCACTCTGCCACTGACCTAAAAAAAAAATTCGTGAAAATTTTGAGAGTACTATTTTTAATGCATTAGTTTATTAAAAGCTTGTCATCATAGGAACGAGGAATAATGCGGTAGAACAGAATGAAATCCTGACGCGTATTCAAACTGCCAAAATATTTTCCGCCTATATATAGAGAAGATCAAAAAGGGTTTGCCAATTTATTTTGAGATTGGCTGGTGCCGGAAAGTTGAAGAAAATTAACCTCATCTCTATGGAAAAATGAGTACTATACGTGAACAAGGAAAGGATGAAATACAAATCTTCTTGGATTTACAGGGAAATTATTTGTGATTTTATTTTCAGTTTTATTAATGAGGTGGTAAGTGTTCGAATCGGCAAACTTATTGTTTCCTTTTCTTAAGCGTTTAACTCTCTTTTTTGAGATTTACCCGAGCGTTTTTCGATCTTCATAGCTTAAATTAAATTATATTGAGGGCAGACATTTCGAATATTCCAGTTTCCAAGGGCCTTTTGTACAGCGAGTGAATATTTCGCCATTGCATTGGATTCTTCCTAAATCGTACCTCGTTGAGGACGTGATACCCCTGAAACCCCTGGGGTTTTCGTGCGCTTACATCTTTCCTTTGTATTCATCTTCTTTTATTCGGGAGACTTCTATTCATTATTAATATTTTAGCGAGAAAGTAGGGGAATTTTTCGAAATACGAAAAAATATTGCGATGAAATTTTCTGTCCCCCACCACATGAAGCACTTTTTCTTATCTTTGTTTGAGCAATGATTTGCAAGAGTTTTCAATGAAGCACTTCTTTATTGTTTCAATTCACCTGCACGCAAAAAGGTCTTACAACAAATACGTGCACTGAAATGCAACATGTTTTCCTTTTATTTTAGTGAACAGTTCGAGGAGGGGATCATGCTTTGTCATTTTATTCGGAAAGTGTAAAAGGTTTGGATTGATTTTCACAGAAATTGGAACGAGGCCAAGAAGAAAACATTGCTGGAACGTATTTTTCAAAATCGACGCGACAAGCAAAACTTCTCGAGAAAGCCAGAAAGGATTCACACGTGAATGGACCCAGTTGGCGAGGTGAGCCTTTGTCTGTCGGCTTATTTTCCGCGAAAACATGTTTATTTTCTTCATTCATTGGAAACTAGNAACCAGACAATCAGTCTTTCTCCCGAAATGCTTGTCAACGGAAACCTGAGCAATTCCTGCAGTCTCAACGGGTCTTGGGATCAACCGAATAGTTCCAACTCCTGGGGCGGAACCTCTAATGTCGGCGTCAATAACTGGTTTTCCAGTAAGTACTATTTTTTTCTAAAAAAAAGGTCTTCATGCATCAAGTGTGTTCGCCAATTTTTAGCAAACGGGTACAACATTAATCCGATGGACTCGATGCGAAAACCAACCAGACTGCAGGCATTGCCGGATTTGGACCGTGGCGGCGGAATCAGGGCAACAAAAAAACGTTCCAGAGCAGGACTCAACACCCTCGACCTTATATGACCTGGATTATTTTACCAATTTACCTGATTGATAAACCTGAACGTCCGGGAAAAAACGTTCTGAAAGTACCTGTGATGAAAATGCGGAATTTATTATTTAAAAAAATGAAGAAGAGCGTGCAGTAAATGCAGCGACCTCGTTATTTGAAGGTATATATGTGCGTCACGTTGAATCAATCGATCAATCGGCTCGCGCATGTGCCAACGACGACGACGGCCAAGTTGATTGATTTGCTTTCTGCGAACCTGACCTCGAACGGGACTCGCAACTGGAAGGGCAAGAAAGAACGTCGGCCTTTTTGCTGAATATTTTATGATAATGTTGCCGCCGACGATGCGGAAACGGCGCAATTTTTGCAGGTCATGGAGTGTACGGGGGGCATCAGATCTTGAAAGCTTTGCCTAGGCGATTATCCGGGCATAATGTTCTAGCCTTTTTTTTTTTGCGGACAGGTTCCAGGTCAACCGCAATGTGGGGAGGACGGAAGGTCAGTTACTTTCTGGTGTTTTAGGTGGTTACGCAAATTATGGGCGGGTGCACTAGCAAAGTGAGTTGAGATTTGAACCAAAACCAGATCGGATATACAGTACTGTATTTTTATACACGTACCATTCTGATCTGTGCTACACATGGCCAATTTTCTACGAACCGCGATGGTTACAGAAAATTAATATGATAATATTAAGAATAAATCTGAGGTACACAATTTTTCCCAGAAAAAATTACATCGAAAAATATCTTGGTAATGCATTTGGTTTACACGAATCTAAGCATCAAGCATTTGAAAATGGGGTAAAAAGTTGACTATACTGATCTGACGATGACATATCGAGAAATCGCTTCAAAAGTTTAATTCAACCCAACGTTGACATTTTATGTCAAATAAGCGGATCGTCATTTATATGTCTGGTTATTACTGCAATATATGAACCAAACAAAAAAATGTAAATTAAATCCCCAAGAAAGATTTTCTGTAGACTAGCATTCAATATTTTTCTTGTCGGAAATTGAAGGAACTTTCAGTGTTGATGGAATCCTCAACGAAGTTTTACAAACCTTTCATGTAGGAGATGTTTTTGTTTGAAAAGCAGCCTGTTTCAATACCCGCTATTCGGCTTGCATGCACATTTAAATTCAAATATACACATGTTATGGGATAAAACGTTGATTTTGAAAAAAGCTAATATTCATCTCAAACCTCAAAAAATATTATTTCTTAATTTTTCAGAGCGGAGTCGAGCCGCAAAGTGGTCAAGCAAATGACCGAAACGGGGATATCAGTTTTCCAAAAGTCGCAAGAACTGTTCGACCAACAAAGACGAACAATTTTCAATCGACAGTCGAAAACGTATTCTCCACTATTACAAGAATAAATAACAAAACTTCGGATGCCCAAATGTGAGTGTTTTTTGTGGCTCACCGTTTACTTGGGCATTTTTTTCGTTGTAAACCCACCGAACGCATCACATTATTATTCCTTCTTGACAATTATTTCGACGAATAGCCTATATTTTCTTTGCATTAACGGTTCATGCTTGTGCTTTTTTGATGCAGGAAATTTGCGTGCATCGAAAACTAACTGACGTGGCAAGCTTCATTTTTCCATGAAAAGCACTTACACCCACTTAAGGATTGTTTGGTTTAATTTCCTACATTACATATGGGGATTCTTTTGTGTAATTCATCCATAGGAACCCGTCCAGGGCTTTGGACGCCACCTTTACCTACGACGAGCCAACACGGAAAAATCTTGCGTCAACTTCAAGGGGCGAATTCCGACCCATGAACAACGTCATTTTGGCCCCGGGTTCGCAGCCAGTGAATCACCTGGGACCAACTTATTTCCTAAACGGGGTCGCCTATCCTGCGTTACCCGAAATGACCCCTCCGGTCATGGTGGTTTCTGGAGGGTTTCCTCCTGCCCCTGCTTCCTATCGTAACAACAAAAGCACCAGTTCTTTGACCGGATGGTTTTGAAATTATTTGTGACGAGAAGATGATCCGATCGAGGAAATATTTTATGACATGCGAGATTTTCAACATGCCGTAATTTTCACAATAAACCAGTCGAAGTCTTTTCCCGTGAAAAGAATAGTTGAATAAGAAACCATCGAATTCCTGTACATCTTTTTGAATCACTTGCATAATCAAGGACAGTATAAAAAAATAGGGACCCTTTTCACTAAAAATGATTTTGAGAAAAGATTTCTTTCATTTTCTCGAAGCAAGTATATGCTGTATTTCCAATCAAATTCATTTTTTCTCGTTCAACGCACATGCTTATTAAACCCATTTCCTCTGATAACCTCAAGGATTCAAAAAATAATGTTATTCTCAAAAACGTGATACAATCTTTCCGTTCTTGGTTCTCGAATATCATTGCAAATTTAATCTGAAAAAGTGCCATAATAATCTCTGAGCGGCATATATTTGTATAAAACACTGGAATTTTTTTACATCAATGATGAGACACGTTGGTTATTTTCAAGTGAAGTAATTAACATAATTCAGAATCCCAAACAGATCGCCATTGCTTATTTCCAAGAGAACAACGATTTACCAGTAACATCATTAAAGCTATAGTGAGAATAGCACGGATTGTCGTTTTTACTGAAGGAAGAATTGCATCGCGGTACATTGAATACATTTTTGAAATTAATATTCGGGACCATTGAATTCTCAAAGTGGAGGCGCGAAAAAGTACAAAGGATAAAATGGTGAACCAAAATAGCAGTGAAATTTCTATTGCGAAATATTTTCGAAGCTTCAGAAGCTCATCTGAAAAAGAAAGGACCTTTTGGAGTGAAATTCAGGAATTAATTTCCAGATTCGTGCCAATTATTTATTTATGCGAGTCAATTTGGTGTACGATGTTGATCGAATGAATCAAATATGCTGATCCGAGGAAGAGAAATGGTCTTCGAATTTTATTTATTTTTTCATAAATTTGCCATAACGACTATGGGATGAATCACCAACATACCCTTCACGGCTGTTGAAATGATGGACAGGCTTTTTAAAATGAGTCGATCGAAAATTATGATTTTTTGTGCTTTTTTCAGCAGATGAATCATTCGAATACGCAGGTTGTACGAACAATAACTTGCATTTCTACATTCACACGAGATGAGGGTCACGTGTTTTAAAGTCATCATCATCATCATCGTTCAAATTGTCCATCAATTTGTTATCCAGGAAACGCTTGGATATGTTTCGAGGATCTCCCTTTTTAATTTGCACTTGCTTCAAGGAAGCGTACAAGGTTTCCTCCCTGCAGCTGTTTCCTTGTTTTGAATTT